AGCACCTTCCGGGCACTTAGCTGTCGAAAAGGGCTGCGAATCAAATTGTGCTAACAGGGTTTGGCAAACGGACACTGTAGATGTTCACAAGGCAAACAAATCATGTCTTCCTCCCAAACTATCCTTTAGCGCAGGGGTCTCCAACCTTGGCAACTTTAAGACTTTGCTGGCGGAGGAACTCTGGGAGTTGAAGTCCACAAGTCTTAAAAGTTGCCAAGGTTGGAGACCCCTGCTTTAGTGCAAACACTACCCCTGCCCCCTTGATAACCTGCACTTGGCAGATGTAAGGAAATCAAATGGGAGGGGGGGCAGTGGTGGGATTAAAAAATTTTTTACTACTGGTTCTGTGGGCGTGGCATGGCTTGGTGGGTGTGGCTTGGTGTGGGGGGGGGCAGGAGAAGGATACTGCAAACTCCCCATTCCCTCCCCACCCCACTAACCTGCTTTCCAGGTCCCTTCTCCTGTGCAGGGCAACCAAAGGAGACCCAGCCCATCAGCTGGGTCTCAATGGGAGGCAGAGAAGAGATGGGGGTGGGACCAGTCAGAGGAGGTACTTGCCGGTTCTCCGAACTACTCAAAATTTCTGCTACTGGTTCTCTAGAACTGCTCAGAACCAGGTGAATACCAACTCTGTCCCAAAGGTGCTTTTTCAAGAGACAACCGGACTTTCTGCATGGATGGGAATGGAAGGATTCCATCCAGTCAGAGCTGAAGAAGCTTCTTGGATGAGAAGTGAAACATCTTCAAAGAAAAAAAAAACCAGGAACTCCAGTTGCCTCTTGAAAATGCGCCTTTTTGATGACTCCAGGCGTGGTCAGGCCACATAAACTTGTAGCTATAGATGCAACAGGAAGAAGGGGGCAGGCAAACACAGACAACTGCTGGACTTTCCCCTGAAGGGACACCCCGAGTTGGATTCGGGACTACTTTCTCCGCAGAAAAGGCTGTGCCGAGTTCCCCGCCCTTTCTCTGTGGCCATCTCCCTTTGCTCAAAATCAGCCACTGTGTGTGTGGTTTCCTCTCCTCGCAGACGGTCCTTGGGACTCCTAATGCTGCATATGGTTCATACAGATTCATACAGATTTTATACAGAGTTGGAAGGGACTTTGTAGGTCATCTAGTCCCCTGCCCAAGCAAGAGACCTTACACCATTTCTGACGGGTGGCAGTCCAAACTCTTCTTGAAAGCCTCCAGTGATGAAGCTCCCACAACTTCTGAAGGCAACTTCTGCTCCTTCCGTTGATTGTTCTATCAGAAATGTTCTCCTTATTTCCAGGTTGAATCTCTCCTTGATCAATTTCCATCCATTATTCCTTGTCTGGCCTTTGGGTGTCTTGGAGAATAGCTTGACCCTCTCCTCCTCTCTGTGGCAGCCCCTCAAATATTGGAAGACTGCTATCCGGTCTCCCCTGGTCCTTCTCTTCCCTAACCAAGCCCAGTTCCAGCAACCGTTCTTCATATATTTTAGTCTCCAGATCCCTAATCAACTTGGTTGCTCTTCTCTGCACTCTTTCCAGAGTTTTGATGTCTTTTTTATAATGTGGTGACCGAAACTGGATGGATGGTGTGGTCTGCCGGCAGCCTGTGGAGCTGGCAGCAGAGTCAGACAGTGGGGAGGACGTGGGCCAGTCCTGGAGTCTGGGGAGGACTTGGATGAGGGATCTGCATCTTACACAGAGATGGGGCCAGGGCCATCTGATAGTTATGTGCCGACTCCGGAGCCTCCGGAATCTGACATTAGCAAGGAAGAGGAACAGCGGGAGCCTGTTCCCAGGGTGTGCTTGCGCAGAGCTGTCAGAAGGCAAGGAAAGTTAAGACAAAAGGAGTGACTCGGGAGTAAGGCTTGGAGATGATTGGCCCTCCCATAAGACATAAAGAAAGAGCAAAGGGACATGAGCCTTTGCAGGAAGCAACTTTCTTCATTCAGATCGATTTAAATTCTGAAGCTCCCTGTTGACTTTGTGCTCCGTTTGGCCTTGTACAGCTAATTGGCAATTTAGTTGTTGGCAGCATTTCAAGGGAGATAAAGGTGGGTGCTTATCAGCCTTATCCCCCAAAGACTGTGGCAGACTTCTGTTGGACTATTCACAAACTGTTTCGGACTCATTACGGGCTGTGATGCATAGAATTCACAGCCGTTGAAATAAAAACAGAGGTTTTTGGGAACAGCATATGATTGTTACTGTCTCAGGAAGTCTTGGTCAGAACAATCCAGGTGTTCTGTAGGTGTGACCTTACTAAGGCTATATAGAGTGGTATTAGTACCTCACTTAATCTTAATTTTATCCCTTTGTTAATGCAATTTAGGATTGCATTGGCCTTGACTGACAATAGCAACAGCACTTAGACTTAAATACCACTTCGCAGTGCTTCACAGCCCTCTCTAAGCAGTTTACAGAGTCGGCCTACTGCCCCCAACAATCTGGGTCCTCATTTTACCCACCTCAGAAGGATGGAAGGCTGAGTCAACTTTGAACCAGTCAGGATCAAACTGCCAAATTGCAGGCAGCCAGCAGTCAGCAGAAGTAGCCTGCAGTATTGCATTCTAACCACTGTGCCACCACAGTTCTTCGAGAGATAAAAAACCAATCAATCAATCAACCAATCAGAATAAAGAAGACAAGAGCCTGGGATTCAGGTGGGTACCTCAGGCAGTCACCTGGCTTGATAAGTGCTGCATTTGCAGGTGTATCTTCGCATCGCAGTTGGGTCAAGGTGGAGGGGCATCCGAGGTGGAAAAAAGGGATGAGGGCCTTTCAGGTGAGGTGGGCTTTATCCAATACAGCCCTTTTCTCTGCATTGCTCCAGAGAGGAGGAATTGTGGACAAAATGTAGCTGCTCAAATATTGTGTGGGGAATTGCAGGGGGCACCTATAATTAGCCAGGGCTAATAATTGCTGATATTTGGGGCGCTGAAAACAAACGATCACGTACCCTCATGCTTAAGAAATACTATTAATTTCCAACGCGCATCTTAAATAATTGCGCTACCAAAAAAAACCCCCAAACCAAAACACAACCATCCCACTTTTGCTTCCCTTTTCTAAATGTTATACAAACATAGTTAGCAACAACAGGCTCAGTTTTGTAAGAGAAACCATAGAGGTTGTGATCTGGGATAAATAAACTCATTAGCCCAGCAAAATCATGCAGCGTTAACAGGGGGTGGAGGACTGAAGCAAAGGTTCCCCTCTCCCAAATGAGCAACGAAGCGCTTTCTGCTCTCTGTAAATCAGGCTACCTCTGACTACTGGCCTGACCTCAGTCCCACGTCTGGGTTCTGAGTCATGTGCCCCAAGAGCTGGCAGGAAAACAGCCATGTTTGCTCCCTGAGTCATGGCCTGAAAATCCTCCCCCCCCCCACACACACACACCCCTGGGAAGCCCCACTGGCCCCACCCTTGTCTGCAGCATTGGCTGAGGGTGGTTTGCAAGCCCAGAGGTTTGGCATAATTGGCTACATCAATCGAATAAATAAATTAAATAAATAAACCCACTCGGAAGCCCCAACTGTAGTTAGCACTGCAAGCTGTGCCAGACCTCGCTTGCCCTGTTCTAGTAGCCCAAGACAGGTATAGCTAAGTTCCTTGCCCAGTCTGGGCTGTTAAACCAGGGGTGTGATTCAACCGGTGTAACAACTGCTTCGCCAAATGCCTGCTTTGCGTGCGTGCAGAGCATTTGCTGCTGGCTTTTCCCAGCAATCTCTGTGCGTTAAAACAGCTGATGTGCGGCAATCCGCCGTGCCGCGCGAATCAGCTGAGCTTGAAAACTCGGAAATAAAGCACAGATTGGAGCTGGAACAGGTGGGTAGGCCAACAGCTGATCATCGGAGCAAACTGGTTCACTCACAGCTGATCCTCCCACCCTGGCATGGCCCTTAAATGTGAACCTGCAATGCATCAGTGTTTCAGCTGCCAGCTTTCACAAGTGTGCAGCGCAACTTTCCTCCTGCCCCAGAGAGTCCATGTGTGTGTGTGTGTGTGTCGGGCATATGGGACGTCTCCCCTCCGAGCCAAGCACATCTGCAGGATGGAGGCTTGGGGTTCTGTGGTCCTGCCTAAAAACCAGCGTGGCCATGCAAAGAACAGATGGGTAGGGTTTTTTTTTTCAGTAATCGCCCACTATCACTGTACACCAGGAACAGATCATTCATAAGCTGTACAACTGTAGCAAACCCCATTTTTATGGCTCCTGCCATTAACCCTAGAAGTATAAGAATTTTCCACTAAGAGGATCTGTCGAATACGTGATCAGAACGAGGCGAAGTTATGCTAACCATTTTTTATTCTCTGCTAAATGTTTGGGTTCTGTGCATTATTCTCTGAGAACACTAAGCCATCTTGTTTATCTCTGAGGTCAGCACTTAGCGTTCCATCGGTTATGGAGGTCACTACCAAAGAAGTGATTCATAAACTTCAAGGAAATAATTCATCATTCTCCCAGTTATGAAGTGATATCACTGTTTCACATCTGCATCGGGACTGCAAAAGGAAGCCAGCCTTTTGCCGTTATTTGCAAGCAACTATTCTGAAAGGAAAATAGCAAGTTACCCAGGGGGTGGTTGCAAACACACAAACACGAAACAGTAGCTGTGAGGGAGGTTTTGTTCCACAAACAATGCCACAATGAAA